TTGGAAATATGATGGCACGAACCATTTTAACTTCAGTTATTGGATATACGTATCTTTCCATTTCAAGATTTTATCTAGCTACCTTTCAAATTCCTAGTCTTCTTATGATTTCTTCACTGAATTCTATTCTGATTAATGATTGAGCCAAGGTATGGGAAATCTTGAACTATTTTAGTTTTTTAATTGTCTACTTTAAAGTTATATCAATCATACATGGTCATTATTTTTGTTTTCTTATTGTTCATTTGGAAACCTGCCCTTGGACTTTCTTCGTTTACTTTATACAGCAATAAACCTTGTCTAACCACCTTGACAATTGGAAACCATTCTATTTCTCTATTCTTCCTTGACATTTTCTTGAGTACAGGTTATGAATCAGGACAATAAAATGTAGCAGCACACCCATTTCTTTAAACCTGATCCATAATTTTTCATGATCTCTACAATCATAGACTTCTATAATTTATAAAGCAGATTATGAAGTACACTGGAGAATTTCCTTCTGAAATTCTTAGGTATGCTCTGTTATCTACCAGACTGCAGTGGTTCTCAACCTTTGGGTCCTCAGATGTTTTGGACTCCTGATGACCTTTTGGTCAAGATTTTTGGGGACTTAGTCAGAATTTTGACAAAAGTAGCTTGAAGCAGCTCTATTAATATACCAGTTATTTCTAATTATTTATTTTTCCCAAGTGGTCTGAGCGCAACTTCTACTTCAATTTTGAAAATTGTAGGTTCATTGTCATATGGTTCTTCCTTGAATTAATCTATTATCTTGGACATCTTGTGACAGGTTCACTTTAGTATCATCATAGGTCAGAAATCTAAAACACAGACATGTGCTTTTCACCTTAAGAACAGACAAGCATCCCAAGCTCTGAAGATCACCCGGGAAGGAATCCCACTGGAGCATTGCAGCACACCCAAATACCTGGGAGTCACTCTGGACCGTGCTCTGACCTACAAGAAGCACTGCCTGAATATGAAGCAGAAATTGGGTGCTAGAAACAATATCATACGAAAGCTGACTGGCACAACCTGGGGATCACAACCAGACACAGTGAAGACATCTGCCCTCGCGCTATGCTACTCTGCTGCTGAATATGCATGCCCAGTGTGGAACACATCTCACCATGCTAAAACAGTGGATGTGGCTCTTAATGAGCCATGCCACATTATCACGGGGTGTCTGCGCCCTACACCACTGTAGAAACTACACTGTCTAGCCAGTATTGCATCACCTGACATCTGCCGGGAAGTAGAAGCCAATAGTGAAAGGATCAAGGCAGTGACATCTCCAACTCATCCCTTGTTTGGGTATCAGCCAGCACACCAATGACTTAAATCAAGAAATAGTTTTCTAAGATCTACAGAGACACTCGCTGGGACACTCCAGCAAGTGAGAGTCCAAAAGTGGCAGGCTCAAACCCAGAACCTCAATCAATGGCTGATACCAAATGAGAGACTCCCCCCTGGGCACACAGAAAACTGGGCGACTTGGAAGGCGCTGAACAGACTGCGCTCTGGCACCACGAGATGCAGAGCCAACCTTAAGAAATGGGGCTACAAAGTGGAATCCATGACATGCGAGTGTGGAGAAGAGCAAACCACAGACCACCTGCTGCAATGAAACCTGAGCCCTGCCACATGCACAATGGAGGACCTTCTTGCAGCAACACCAGAGGCACTCCAAGTGGCCAGATACTGGTCAAAGGACATTTAATCAACTACCAAGCTTGCAAACTTTGTGTTTTGTCTGTCTGTTTGTTTTGTTAAAAATGATCAAGTATCTGGAGAACAAGCCCTATGAGGAGCAGCCTCAAGAGCTGGGCATGTTTAGCCTCAAGAAGAGAAGGCTGGTCTGATCAAGGCAGAATAGAGAGGTAGTATGACTTCCCTGGATCTAGATACTATACTTCTATTTATGCAGGCCAAAATCCCATTGATTTTTTTACTTCTACCTAATAACAGTATTTCCAAGCCCATATTTGACTAATTTAGTCAAATATGGGCTTGGAAATACTGTTATTAGGTAGAAGTAAAAAAATCAATGGGATTTTGGCCTGCATAAATAGAAGTATAGTATCTAGATCCAGGGAAGTCATACTACCTCTCTATTCTGCCTTGATCAGACCAGACCTGGGATACTGTGTCCAATTCTGGGCACTGTAGTTGAAAGGAGATGTTGACTCTTGAGTTGGAATATGTCCAGAGAAAGGGTGACTAAAATGATCAAGTATCTGGAGAACAAGCCCTATGAGGAGCAGCCTCAAGAGCTGGGCATGTTTAGCGTCAAGAAGAGAAGGCTGAAAGGAGACATGATGAGGGCCATGTATAAATATGTGAGGGGAAGTCATAGGGAGGAGGGAGCAAGCTTGTTTTCTGCTGCCCTGGAGACCAGGACACAGAATAATGGCTTCAAACTAAAGGAGATTCCACCTGAACGTTAGGAAGAACTTCCTAACTGTGAGAGCTGTTCAGCAGTGGAACTTTCTGCTTCGGAGTGCAGTGGAGGCTCCTTCTTTGGAGGCTTTTAAGCAGAGGCTAGATGGCCATCTGTTAGGGGTGCTTTGCTGTGATTTTCCTGCTTCTTGGCAGGAGGTTGGACTGATGGCCCGCAAAGTTTCTTCCAACTCAATGATTCTATAATTCTATCTTATATAATGGGTTTTGGTATCCATGGGGGGGGGGGGGAGAGCATGGAACCAAACCCCACTGGATACCAAGGGCCGATTGTATCTTTGGGTGCATCTACACTCTAGAGCCGTGTTTCTCAACCTGGGGATCGGGACCTCTGGGGGGAGGAGTTGTGAGGGGGTTCCAGAGGGGTTGCCAAAGATAATCAGAAAACATATATTTCTGATGGTATTAGGAACCGCTTTAGCAATTCTTCTTTTCCTTTTTGGAAAGAGAAGGCAAATCCTCCCACCAAAAGCCCTCCTCTTTTGTGATTGGTCGGCCTCTCAGCCAAGGAGAAGGCTGCTTCTGAGACTTCACGTAGGAAGGGGAGAGCAGGCATGCTCGACACATGGCAGCATTGGTGGTGGGCATGTGCGGGAGAGTGTGCAAGGCTGGAGGGAGGCTTGTGCCAGCAAGTCCCTTCAAGACATGGGGGTTCTGTGAGGGAAGTTTGGCCCAATTATATCGTTGGTGGGGTTCAGAATGCTCCTTGATGAACTATAAATCCCAGTAACTACAGCTCCCAAATGTCAAGGCCTATTTTCCCCAAACTCCACCAGTGTTCACATTTGGCCATATTGAGTATTTGTGCCAAATTTGGTCCAGATCTATCATTGTTTGAGTCCACAGTGCTCTCTGGATGTCAGTGAACTACAGCTTCAAAACTCAAGGTCAGTGCCCACTAAACCCTTCCAGTATTTTCTGTTGGTCGCGGGAGTTCTGTGTGCCAAGTTTGGTTCAATTCCATTGTTGGTGGAGTTCAGAATGCTCTTTGCTTGTAGGTTAACTATAAATCCCAGCAACTACAACTCACAAATGACAAAATAAATCCCCCCAACCCCACCAATACTCAAATTTGGGCGTATTGGGGGTTTTTTTTGGTCAAATTTGGCCCAGTGAATGAAAATACATCCTGCATTTCAGACATTTACATTACGATTCATAACAGTAGCAAAATTACAGTTGTGAAGTAGCAACGAAAATAATTTTATGGTTGGGGGTCACCATGACATGAGGAACTGTATTAAGGGATCACGGCATTAGGAAAGTTGAGAACACTCCTCTACAATGAATGCATCTTGACAGTACGTTACCTCCCATGGCTCAATGGGTTGTAGTTTGGCAAGTCACCAGCACTCTTTGGCAGAGAAGCCTTGTAAAACTTCAACTCCCAGGATCCCTGTAGCTCTGAGCCATGGCAAAGTGGTGTTCAAACCATACTCATTCTAGCAGTGTAGTGGCCTAGTGTGCCTAGATGAGGCCCTGTTATCAGGGACTGAAGAAAAGAGGAAAGCAAGGGAAGGAGCAATTATAGAATCATAGAGAATCATAGGCCATCCAGTCCACCCCCCTGCCAAGAAGCAGGAAAATCTCATTCAAAGCACCCCTGACAGATGGCCATCCACAGGCCTGTAGCCAGGATTTCGATTGGGGCGGGGCTGAGTTTGTTTCGGGGGGGGGGGGGCTGAGTCCGAGTGAAAGAGGGTCTACCCTAGCAAACCTTTTGTATCGTTACCCCAATACCCCCATGCATATGGGATATATTGAGTAGGGTGATCAGATCATGATATGAATAAACATAACAGTTTAAATAATGCACCAGTAAGGCCTTTTCGCGAACCACCATGAGAATTTCGGGGGGGGGGGGCTGAAGCCCCCCAAGCCCCCCCCCCCCCCGCTACATGCCTGGCCATCCAGCCTCTGTTTAAAAGCCCCCAAAGAAGGAGCCACCACCACACTCTGGGGCAGAGAGTTCCACTGCTGAACGGCTCTCACAGTCCAGAAGTTCTTCCTCATCTTCAGGTGGAATCTCCTGAACATGAGGAAGTACTGTTCTCCAGGGCAGCAGAAAACAAGCTTGCTCCCTCCTCCCCTATGACTTCCGCTCACATATTTATACATGGCCCTCATCATGTCTCCTCTCAGCCTTCTCTTCTTGAGACTAAACATGCTCTGCTCTTTAAGCCGCTCCTCATAGGGCTTGTTCTCCAGACCCTTGAGCATTTGAGTTGCCCTCCTCTGGACACATTCCAGCTTGTCAATATCTCCTTCCATTGTGGTGCCCAGAATTGGACACAATATTCCAGGTGTGGTCTAACCAAGGCAGAATCCTCTTGGCAAAGATAAGGAAGGAGTAGGCTCCCAAGCAGCAAGACCCCCCCCCCCCATCTCTTCGCCCTCCCTTCGTGATCAATGCTGCTGACTTCAGCGGTTTGGACAGCGCCGGGTTATATTTAGCCCATTGTGTCCAAGGGAGACTGCGGCGCCCATCGGGTGGCAAGGAGAAGGAGGGCTGGGGGTGGCAGAGAGGGAGGGACGGAGGGAGGGAGGGACAGAAGGAGGGTGGCAGAGATTGATGAGCCAGGTGGCATCTCTGCCGGCTGCACAGCCGCCGCGGGACGGAAGGAGGGAGAGAGGGAAGAAGGAAGGCAGGCAGGCAGCCGCAAGGAGCAGCAGCAGCAGCAGCCGCCTTTGCAGCGCCTTCTTGCCTGGGAGAAGCCTCAGAGGGAGAAGGCAGGGCGAGGCTGGGCAGGGAGAGCAAAGCAAGGCAAGGCAAAGCAAAGCAGCCACCCTGCAGAACAGAAACAGCAGCGGCAGCAGCATCCTGGGTGATCTGAGTCAACATGGTGGCTGCCCACACCTCCCATGCTTCCTCCTCCAGCGAGTGGATCGCATGCCTGGATAAAAGGTACCATAGGGCCGGGAAGGGAGGGGGAGAAGGGAGGGAGGGAAGCATTGGGGGCAATGGATGCTCAAGACACCTCCGTTCCTCCCCTCCATCTATCAGAAATTACTCCATGCAGTGGGGGAGCTGGTAGATCTGTGTGTAAGAGAGGCCTCCATGAGTATATAGCCAAAGGAGTGTCATTTTGCTGCCTAATATATTCTCCCCAGGGCCACACATTTCCATGGGGGTCTTCCTCTGAAAGGCTGCACCTGCTGGAGGAAAAAAGGAAATGAATGAAATGGTCTCTCAGGAGCTCCTCATCTCCCTCCCTCCCTCCTCCACTGCTTAGGGTTTACAGAGATGCTCAGAAGGCTCCAGGCATTGTTAAAGGAATAGGATCAATAAAGGATCAATAATTGTCATCATTCAGTGAAGGGGCACGGCAGATCCATAATTCAGATGCCCACTGTGTAGAGGGATAATTGCTTGGAGAGTATCTACACCAGGCCTGGGCAAACTTTGGCCCTCCATGTGTTGGACTTCAACTCCCACAATTCCAAACAGCGAGAAGGCTGTTAGGAATTGTGGGAGTTGAATTCCAAAATACCTGGAGGGCCAAAGTTTGCCCAGGCCTGGTATACGCATACACATACATACATTTATATATATACCCACATAGGTTCAAATCCGGGGAGAGCGTGGATGAGCTCCCTCTATCATCTCCAGCTCCCCATGCAGGGACATGAGCGAAGCCTCCTACAAGGATGATAAAACATCAAAACATCTGGGTGTCCCCTGAGCAACATCTTTACAGAAAGCCAATTTTTTCACACTAGAAGCGGCCTGCGGTTCTCAAGTTGCTCCTGACACGACCAAAAAATCCCCCACACATATACATATATGTACCCACATACAGGCAGACCTCAAGTTGCAAAGAGATAGGTACTGTAGATTTGGTCTTAAGTTGAAATTGTAAATCAAAACAGGTACATTATTAAGTGTAACTCGTGTGTGTGTGTGTGTGTGTTTTGGGTAGCATAAGGAAGGGTTAACCCCCCTGTGGTGTTTGTGTTACTGCCTGTGCCCCTGTTCAGAAGATTTCACCTCCTTTTCTGTCCCTGTGATAACTGCATTTTATAAGGCCCAATTTTTAACTTTGTGGGTTTTTTATACATGATAACTGTATGAGAGTGGGTTGAGCTCCCTCTGTCAGCTCCAGTTCCAGCTCCAGCTCCCCAGGGAACATGAGAGAAGCATCCCACAAGGATGGTAAAACATCAAACATCTGGGTGTTCCCTGGGCAACGTCCTTGTAGACAGCCAGTTCTCACACCAGAAGCGACTTGCGGTTTCTCGTCACTCCTGACATGAAAAAAATGCTTCCAATTCAATAAATAAATAACTGAATTTTGAAAATTGGCTTATTGTGGAAACCTGAATTGGTGCTAAAGTGTCAGAGGAGACACTTTTTATAATAATACTAGCTGTCCCCTGCCACGCGTTGCTGTGGCCCAGTCTGTGTATAAGTGTTTTTTGTGTGTATATATTTGTGTATACAGTATTCCCTCATATATCACAGGTGTTTGTTCCAGGAGGCTGTTATGAATTGTGGGAGTTGAAGTCCAAAACACCTGGAGGGCCGAAGTTTGCCCATGCCTGATCTACACTGTAGAATGGATTCAGTTTGGTGCTGCTTTGACTACCATCATTAAATGCTATGGAATTCTGGGAGTTGATGTTTTGCAAGGTCTTCATACAACTCTGCTCAAGAGCACTGGTGCCTCGCCAAACTACAACTCCCAGCATTCTATAGCATGGAGCCATAGCAGTTAAAACTGTTTCAAATTACCTTCGTTTTAAAGTGTAGACGCACCCTGGAAAGGTCCAGGGTTCAAAGGAATTGTGAGAGATAATCTCACAATTCTTGGATGTCAAGTTCTCCAGCAAGGCCACATTTTAGTATAAGAAGTGTTGAAGCTTTCATTTCCAAAGTACCCAAGGTGTTTTTTGCTGGCTGAGGTGGATAAGCAAAGCATTGCCCCCAGACAATTGCATCTGCATAGTATTCAATGCGCCCTCAAATTATTTTGATGGCAGCAACTCCCACAAGCATTTATCCCCTCCATCTGTCAGTCACTGAAGGATAATAAAATATTAAGGACTAATATTTTGTTGCCTTTTCATGGCATCAAGTATCTGCTGCCTGAGATGGTTGCCTCCTTTCATCTAATGGCAGAACTGATCATGAGCAAGGAAAGGTTAGAAAGCTTCCTTATTAAGCCACATTGTCTGTCCATGTGGCCTATCATTGTCCAATAGTCTGATGTGGTAGTAGATCAAGGGTGCCTTGGGAATATGAAAAGAAACTTCTTTGGAGGTCTTAAATTGCAAAATTTGGGTTGGTAGTCTTAATTTATTAATGTTAGATGATTTCTTAAAAAGAGCAAATTCAGTCCCTTATATCATGCGGGAACATGAGAGAAGCCTCCCACAGGATGGTAAAAAATACGGACATCCCCATAACAATGTCCTTGCAGATGGCCAGTTCTCTCACACCAAAGGTAACTTGCAGTTTCTCAAGTCACTCCTGACACACACATACACAAGTTCCTTACACGACTGTTGACTCCATAATGTATCCCTAGATCATTTTATGGGAACAAGTAACTTTTTCTTACTTAGGCGATCCCTCGTAGTCCGAGGATGATGGTCCTCCAAGGTCGGTGTTCTGTCGGTGGGTCCGTAGGTGACTGTGGAGCCCAATTCTTGATCTGCATCTTCTCCCACAGTGAGGGCATTGGTATCCAGGTAGAAGACGGTCCCGGATAGTCTCTGGATAGGCTCGGTCTCTGGATAGTCTTGCATTTTCTAATGATATTTGAACAAATAGGGAGGCTACCTGGCACCCCTGGTACTTGGACCCCTTCTACACTACCATAAAATCCATTATTTGTTTTGAACTGGATTATATGAGTCTACACTGCCATATAATCCAGTTCAAAGCAGATAGTCTGGATTTTATATGACAGTGTAGATGGGGCCTTGCAGACACCTGCATGTTGTGAGCTTTTGGTGTATAGCTAGTTAACTCCTGTAGATGTGGCCATGCCACTGCAAACCAAAGGCCTATACATGTAGTTGGTACCATTCAAGATGGAGGACACATTCCATTTTAAGGCATAAATCTCCCATTTGGATGGCATGCATATTTGGACATACAACAGGCATATTTAATGACCATTATACATAGAGATCATTTCTAAACACCTGGAACAGATATTAAAAATAATGTACACAAAGAGTGGATATCTCCACATGAGACATACTAAAAAAGGAAGAATATCTTACAAGGGAAATGGTTAACTTACAGGGAGCTGATCCAGACCAACTTGGAAAACCCAGAAATGAAATCTCTAGAGCAGTGGTTCTCAACCTATGAGTCCCCAGATGTTTTGGACTACAACTCCTCAAAATACCAGTCAGTTTACCAGCTGTTAGGATTTTTGGGAGTTGAAGGCCAAAGCATCTGGGGGTCCACAGGTTGAGAACCACTGCTCTAGAAGAATTGAACCAAATGGGCTCTAACTGCAATTGGCTTCTATATAGATAGCTGCATGAGAAATTCAAAGAACAACTTAAAACCTTGGGCTTCCAGACTATGAAAACATGGTTTGATGTGGCGAGGTTCCAGTAACTAAAAGGACTTATATATATACAAAAATCTACTGACTTGACACATGGAGGAGGATAGTAAAAGACTCAGTGGTCAGATGGGCTCAAAACACAGGGCAAGAGATAGAAATGGCCCAATGGGGAAAGACATGGAAAAGAACAATGAAATACACGGCATGCCAAAAACCTGAAGGAAAATGTCTACAAAATGCATCTACATTGGTATCTCCCTCCAGAGAGATTAGTGGAGATGTATAACTGCACTGACAATTTTGAAAATGTGGGGAAGAAAAAGGCACCTTTTACCACATGTGGTGGACATGCAACAAAATAAAAAAAAACTACTGGAAACAGATTCATGTATATCTCAAAAAGATGCTAAACACAAATGTCAAAATGACACCACAAATGTACATTTTGGGCTTGCCAGATGAAGAACTAGAAAAGAAATTTGGAAAAAATTGCTTTATATGACAGTGGCAGCCAATATGGTATATGCTAGATATTGGAAAATCTCAGAGGTACCTCCCTTAAAATAAAGGGAAAAATATATTACAGATTTGCTAATAATGGACAAAATAACTACTCTTAAGAGGAGAACTATTAGAGGACTTTGTTAATGAATGGCAATCAATGATTCAACAACAACAATAATAAAGTAAAATTAAATTTAAAATGTACATAGGGAATCCTATAAGACTGTAGACAAGGAGGAAGCGGATATTATTTTAGAGTCTGTGATACCTTTATCTGTACTATTCAAATAGAAAACTGACCCCTTAAAGAAAAGATATTATGTGAGAAATGATAATGAAACACTAATAGCTGGAAAATATTGCACTATATGCAGCAAACACCTACAAATGTATATTTTAATAAATAAATAAATATAAAAATAATTTCTGGATACCTCCCAGTTTGCAAGCAGAGAGGGCAGCAAGTATGATTTCATTCTATTTATTTATTTATTTATTATCAAAATCATTGCATAAATTAGTATAAAACTGATAAAAATAGAAGGTGTACAGGCGGCTAAATATCTTTTGACAAAAAACGGGCAACAGCAACAGCATTGTCTGTAGCCTCCAACAATTCCTCCTCTGTACATGAGGCAGGGCACAGTGGACAACATACAGATGCAGAGTTGTCTGTTCTGCTCCACAGTCACACAAGGTGTGGGATTCTTTTAGGTAGTGCCATTTTGCCAGGTTGCATTGCTTTTTCAAAACATTTCATTCTATGATGAGTAGCCATTTTTGATCCCATGTAGGCATATAGCAAAGATTTTTAGTCAAATTTAACTGATCCTACCGATAGTGAAATTATTTCAGTCGATATCAGCATAGAGAT